AGGAGAGGAATGGCGATAGGAGTTACGAAAAAGAGCCACGGTCGATGTAACGCTGATTTTTATAACGTGTTTGAAATAAAAGTTTCAATTAATAGTGTTCGATTATTTTGCCATACAATCCCACAAAATTGGGGGCTCGTCCGGGATTGGCAAAAATAACGACACGGGTTCGAGTTTGAAGACGACGGACGACGGAGACCGGCGGCGGCGCGTGGTGTGGTGCGCGCGGCGGATATTATTCAAAAACTCAACGTACGACGGCATCGGCAACTAAAACATGACGAAAGACGAATCACGTTCGGGCCAAAGCTCGATGTTGTATCTCACGACGGATCTGATACCTAAATTCACCGGTCAAGATAAAACTTATCCAGTTACGCGATGGATTCAAGACGTGGAAGAAAATGGAGAAATATGTGGTTGGACACCGTTACAACAGCTGCTGATGGCACGGAGGTCCCTATCAGGCACCGCACAGCTATGGATGGAAGCTGAACGCCCTCACAAATCATGGGAAGAACTTAAAGCGGCCCTGAGTAAAGAATTCCCTGACACAGTCGACGTGAAAGCAATCCACGAGCTTATGAGCCAGCGGAAGAAAAGACGTGACGAGAGTTGTATCGACTATATGATGGTCATGAAGGCGTTAGGGAAAAGAGGAAAGATTCCCGATTACGTGGCCATTAAATACATCGTTGATGGCATAGTGGACCATGAAACCAATAAAATCGTGCTTTACGGTGTTACGTCGTATCCTGAACTTAAAGAGAAGTTTAAAATCTACGAGACGATTAAGGAAAAGATGAAACTGGAACATTCTAGAAGTACCTACAGAAACGAAAAACGCGGCAACGTACGGCATGAGAAAACGTCGAAAAGATGTTATAACTGTGGTGAAGGCGATCATGTGTCGGAAGATTGTCCGCAGAAGGCACAAGGTCCAAAGTGCTTTAACTGCAACGAATATGGCCATATTTCATCGAAATGTCCGCATAAAAATAACAAGGAGGTAGGCGGCCGCAAGGAAGATTCGAGTTCATCAAAATGGTGGCGTAGTTCCGGCACTTCCGGGGATAGAAAAGGACACAACAACGAAGCATCGACAAGTGGGAGCGGGAGCGGTGAACGAGTGAGCAAACAAGCAATGTTCGGTCAATCATCGTTCAACGCGGATGATACGTCACACTTACATAATGACATTGACAAGATGACAGATGACAGGAGTAGCAAATGTCAAAGTCAAACCGAGTATGACATCTACGACGTAAACAAACAATCACAACGGGAAAAACCTTTGAAGATCGTAGA